CTCTCTCTGAACCTCTTATCCGCCATAGCCTTATGCTTTCCCTTATCGGTCGACACACTATAAGGTGTACCACCGAATCTCTGCTTTCCCTTACGGTCATTTGCCGTCTTGTAGTGTGCGATCCTCGCACGATTGTCATTATCATAAATTTGGCTTATACTCACCAACTCAGGATAACTCCTGATCTTCTGACAAGATATCCCCGTCTTGATCTCTGGTCGCAGCCCATTCTCAAACTTCAAGCACTTAGAAGTCATGGCTTCGTCCGTATTGTAATGGGGAAAATACTGAGCCAACTCTTTAAACTTAGCCGCATACTCGGCTACCGACAGGTTACCCTACTTCAACTCTAGAAATTCAATCTCTTTGGCACTTATGGTGTCCTCCGGAAAATACTTCTCCAGAAAAATCATCTGAACCACCTCTCAAGTAATCGGAGTCTCCAAAGCCTCCATCCTTTGACGACTGTTATCCCACCAAGCCTCAGCTTCACCCTATAACATGTGAGTACCGAACCTCACCTTCTGCTCATCACTTCACCCCATGGTTCTGAAGATCTTCTCTATCGCCTTCAACCATTTCTGTGCAGCTTCCGGATCCAAAATCCCACCTTCAAACTTGGGTGGCTTGTTGCTCTGGAACTGCGTCAAGTCTCTAAATTGTGCACCCGCAGCCAGATTCTGATTGGCCATCACCCGTGCCATTGCTTGCATAGCTGCAGCCAACGTCGCATCATTCCTCCCTGCCATACTGTTCAACAATGACAACAATTCCAGGTTAACAGAAAACAACCAAACCCTATCCTATAGACAGACTCAAAACACTACAATGGCCAGACGGACCGACCTGCTCTGATACCAACTTGTAACACCCCGTTTCCCCAAAATAGAAATAAACAATTAAAATAAGCACATATCAGAGTTTTCCCACAACGAGATGTCACAATATTCAGCAAAATTCCACAAATCATTTTTTTAAAATAATTTTCAGCAAAATTGCAGCGGAAAAAGATGTAGTCTGTCATAACACATATCATATATGCATCATCCATATCATCAACATCGTCACATACAACAATCGGCCATCTGCCCAAAATATACATAATGTCATCACATATCTCACAAAAATCAGATACGCCACGGGGGCACACGTAATAAACAAGACACAATAAAACTCCCAAAAAGCCCCGGTGTTACGTATCAGAGCAATCCTACGACGACGCCACAGTCCAAGCTAACTAAACACCTGGATTGTTTGTACTTCCGAAGAAGCACAGACCACAACAACAACAAAGGGGTGAGAATTCACGATCAAATATTAATGGTATAAATGTACATGAAATAAACGGCAGAAACAATAAATCATTATTTCACATACAGCATATCCGGACCTACTGTCCCATCATCAACAATCACAACACACACAACAACAATGAAACACATGCACTTAACTCGACAATACGCGGTACCAACTCAACTCAGGATAGATCACATACACTCCATCCAAGCAACGATCTATCCCTACCACGCTCCTCCTGAGCTTATATAATCAAATCTCAACGTCCCCCACTTGGGACACGGGTGGTCGCATACACTCCATCCGAGCAACAATCCAAATCCCGTCCACGCTCCCCACTTGGAGCATGCAAGTAAATCATACACCGCGTCCACGCTCCCCACTTGGAGCACGTGAGTGAATCGCATACGCTCCACCGAGCAACGATTCACCATGTCCACATGCTATGCAAGACCCTATGCATAACCACACGACACATACAGTGCACACGATCCTACTGATCCATCGCATCATATCATGCATATACACACAAGCACACAAAGTGCATCGATCCTACTGATCCAATCACCTCACAACAACACGTCAATACAACGCACACAAGGCATAGCGATCCTACTGATCCACTCATCACACAACAGTATATAATCACAACGCATATAAAGCGTATCGATCCTACTGATCACAATTTATCATATATAAAAGATATCTCACTCATCATCACAGTCATCCCTCATAACATACACCAATGCAATATCATAATCACACGAATATCACATAATCATGTTCCGACACCATACATACACTCACAGCTCACTAATAAGCTCCTCACCAAGCATGACCAACAAGGGTCCAAAACCACAAAGAAATCAACACAGACCAGCAGCAAAACACAAACTGCTGTCGGGCTCGCTGGCGCATTCGCCTGGTGAAGCCCCGTAGCGAACACTCGCTGGCCATTCGCCTGGCGAAGCCCCGCAGCGAACACTCGCTGGAACTCGCCCGGCGAAACTCCTGGCGAAACCAAACAGAGGCTACTGGCAGCGTTCGCCTGGAGAAGGCTCGCCCCCCCTCATTCGCCCTGCGAATACTTGCGATCACAGAAAAATAAAGCCTCAGCTCAGAGTCGGCAACACGCTCCGAACTCAGCCGATTCTACTCCAAGCCAAACCCCATCATACCAGACAATTATTCCACAACCTGACTACAACATCTATCCTCGATTTAACCCGATAAATTTGCACCTCTATTCGATTAACCAACTTCTGGCATAGAACATCGAACTACCCGAAAACCCCCAAAATCAACCAAACAATTATTCTACATCACATGCAACGATTTCTAACGCAATGATCACACTCATAACAAAATTAACAACATGCAACAACATCAATTCATCATCAATCATGGGGATTAGGGAATTTCCCCTTTCTACCACATATTCATGTTTATACCAATTTAACCGATCAATTCCCCCCCTTACCTCAATTGCGATTTTGATGATGATGAACCTTCACAAATCCACAGTCTTCACGTCTTCCTTGCCAAGCTTGCTCGCTTGATCGCTTTTGCTCCTTCACCGTGATCGTGCGTGTTCTCCTTCTTGTTCGTTCTTCCTCTTTCTCTTTTTTCCAAATTCCACCTTTGCCCTCAATACCCCTAAATTCTCTTTTTAATCCAAATAATTTCCAAATAATATATAATTCTCATAATTCTTTTTAATTTCAATAATAATATTTTTATTCCATTAATATTATTAAATATGATAATAATAACAATAATATTAATATTAGTGACACCTCACTAATTATCATACTATTATCATCATTAATCATATTTTATAATATTATGGAACTTTATTCCTGAACAAAAATCCACGCAAGCACGCCGAGAATGAAAATAACACCGAAAAATAAAAATAATTAAAATGGGCGTTACACTAATGGTAATAGAAAAAGATCTGAGGTATGGGATCACTTTAACCTTATTCCTAATAGTGACCCACCAACCGCTGCGTGTAAGTATTGCCATCAAATGTACATGTGTGAATCTAAGAAACATGGAACTTCAAACTTAAAGAGGCATATGAAAACATGTCCAAAGTATCCATTAAATATGTCTACTGACCCTACCCAAACAATCTTGTCATATTCAACAACCGAGGGAAGTGGGCTGCTTTCATTAAGTTCTAGGTTTAATCCTGTTGCTTGTAGAAACGGATTGACTTATTTTATCATTTTAGATGAGAAACCATTCAAAACAGTTGAAGGGGAGGGGTTTAAGCACTTTTGTAGGCAAATGCAACCCCAATTTTGTATACCGTCAAGGAGAACCGTAGCTAGGAACTGCTATCAGTTATATCTTGATGAGAAAGTGAGGTTGAAAGCGTTCTTTAAGTCTGATTGTAGTAGAGTTGCAATTACAACAGATTGTTGAACTTCTGTCCAAAACCTAAATTACTTGACCCTCACTGCCCATTTTATCGATAAAGATTGGAATTACCAAAAAAGAATAATAAGTTTTACGGTTATTCCAAATCACCGGGGTAAAACTGTTGGTAAGAAGGTTGAGGACGTGTTGAAGGAGTGGGGGCTGAGAAATGTGTCTACCATCACGGTGGATAATGCATCATCAAATGATGTTGCTGTTAAATATTTGGAACAAAAAGTAAGAAACATGAATGGACTTTTGATGGATGGGTTTGGGTTTCACATGAGGTGTTGTGCCCATGTGTTGAATCTAGTTGTGAGAGATTGATTACAAGTAGCTAACACCTCAATTTCAAGTGTTAGAAATGCAATTAGGTTTTGTTAGATCTTCACCTCATAGGGCTTTAAAGTTTAAGGAATGTGTGGAATATGCTGGGATCTTATGCAAGAAGTCAGTATGTCTTGATGTTTCAACTCGATGGAACTCGACATATTTGATGTTAGATGCGGCTGAAAAGTTTCAAACAGCTTTTGATAAGTTAGAAGATGAGGATGAAGTGTATAAGGATTTCTTTGAGGTTGATTCCCCCTAGTAGTCAAGATTGGGTTAATGTTAGGGTGTTTATAAAGTTTTTGAAGAATTATTATGAAGCGACAAAGGTATTTTCTGTTTCAACAAAAGCAAGCTTGCATACTGCTTTTCCGTACTTGGTTGCCATTTACATTGAGCTTAAGAAATTAAACATGGACCTTAATGGATTGTTTGCTGAGGTGGCTAGGGACATGTTGGAAAAGTATAGTAAATATTGGGTTGATATCACTAAGATGAACCAACTCCTTTATTTTGGTGTTATCTTTGATCCCCGGTATAAGTTAAGATATGTAAAATGGTGCTTTAATGATATGTATGGAAAAGAATCTGACACTATGAAATCCCTATTAAAAGACATCAATGACAATATTTCAAAGATGTTCAATCTTTACAAACAAGAATATGACACTGCTGAAGGTTCAATTCCACCTGTTGCAGCGGTTGTTTCTCATGGTGAAACAGCTGCCAACGATGAAGTAATCACACATCTATAGCTAGGGAAAATGCATTTCAGGAACATTTGATGTCTATGGATTCAGTGAAAGAAGAAACAGAGCTTCAAAACTATATAGAAGGAAAATGTTTAACTTTTAATGAGAGGGATAATAAAAAGTTTGACATTCTTTGTTGGTGGAAACATAATGCCGGTCAATACCTAATTCTGTCCCAAAATAGTTAGAGATATCATGCCTACACCAGTTTCAACTGTGGCTTTTGAGAGTGCTTTTAGCACGGGTGGGAGAGTTTTAGAGGTATATAGAAGCTCTCTCAAACCAAAAATGACAGAGGCTCTAATTTATGCTCAGAATTGGTTGAGGCCTTCTTTTTACGAATTCAAAGACTTGGAATTCAACGAGGAGTATGAGATTTCCGAAGATGTTTTACAAGGTATTGTTTAAATATTTCTTAAGTGTTTTAGTAAATTGTTTTGTAATATTTTACTAATTATTTTTTTATAATGTATTATAGGATTTACTGAAACTTCAGCCGGAAGTGGAGTTCTGTCATCCTCTCTGACTCAGTCACAGCCTTCTGGCTATGTCTAAAACAAATCAAGGTTGAAATCACTTGTATTTTATTAATCCGTGTTTGTTGAGTATATTATGTATTCTAATGTTTTATGCGATTTTTCAGCCATTTTTTGAATGTTTTGGAGTCATGAAAGAATTTTTTTTTTTGAAGTCATGAACTACACAGCCAAACACTTTTTGAAAGACTAGCAAAACAGTCATGCACATCAAAGCTCACAGAATACAGTCGAGCACTTTTTGAGGTATGATGCAAAACTTGATTACGTTCTGGTTTGTTCTGGCCGTGAATTTTGAGTTGAATTCGTGCTTTTTGATTACGTTCTGGTTTGTTCTGGTTGTGAATTTTGTTGATAGAATGAAATAGCACCTGTTGCAGGGTAGTTTGTGACATTCTGGTCTTCAGGATTATATTTCTACTAGAATTTCATTTTCATGTCATTTTCGGCTACCAACTGAGATCAGTTTATTGGATCTTTGCTCCATATTTTAGATCTTTATCTTGAAAAAAGATGGCAGCTGAGTTAGTTAACACTGCAACAAGCGACAATCTATCTGAAACAGATTGGACAAAAAATATTGAAATATGTGAGTTGGTTGCATGTGATAAAAGGTACGAACGAAAAAGCTCTCATCTGCTTGATTGGTTATGTTCCTTTTTACTCTGTCAATGTTGTAAAACATTGGGAAATACGTTGTTGAGGTCGATTATATAATATGATAGTCCTCGTGGTTACTGTTTTTAACCATCAATTATTTTGAATATGAAGGCAAGCTAGAGATGTCATTAAAGCTATCAAGAAGAAACTCGGTAGCAAACACCCAAACACTCAACTTTATGCTGTCACAGTGGGTATAACGACTTTCTTGTTAAAGCTAGAGATGTTGAACATTACATGCTTGTTTTCTTGTTCCATGGATTTCAAAGTTATTGTCTTTGATCTGTTGATTTTCTAGTTGCTGGAAATGTTGATGAACAATACTGGAGAGCATATTTATGAGCAGGTGATTTATATCGGAATTATTCCTATTCTTGTGAAAATAGTGAAGAAAAAGGTGAGTTTTCTTCTCCTCTGATACTTGTTTAGCTTGGCCAGTTTTTACTTTACCTGATTTCTTACTTTCTTAGTTTCTTAGTTTCTTACCAGGATTGATGACTGATATGCTCAGCCATGATTCATCATGATTGTGGATGTTGATAGACAACGGATGATTATAACTGTTCAGCATTCCTTTGAAAACACTATCAAAATCAGCACTAGCATCCATCTGCATAAAGAAACCAATAAACCCAAGTTGAGAGCCTTCAATTTTAAGGTGCCTCAAAGCATCATGTCTTCATCATCACATCCAAGATTATCAGTATTTTTGTAAATGCAATAGCTAGTTCTTTGTTACTCTTTTATATATTTGCCTCAAAGCATTATACTTGTATTAATTTATATTAAGATCATTTCATTTTCCTTATAAATCTTCTATCTCATATGTTAATGTATGTAATCTTAAGTTTGGCTCATATGGTAAGTCAGTTTTCCGTCCATGTAGTTCAGTAATTATATAGTAAATGCATTCCTATCATTTCATTTGTTTGAAGTGATAATACAAGTATTGTCATTTAAGCGATACATGAAGATGAAAATTATATTTGGTTATTCATTCTGAATAATTCTATTACATAGGAAATTTTACTAATTTAATAACAATCAACAGTGCCCAAAATGTTTCTAGATTATTCAGATTGTTTTTAACTTTGTAATTCTAGTTGGATAGGATGCCTTTAACAAATTACTTATATTTGTTGCAGTAATTCATGATGCCAATAATTTAAACTTTTCTTTAATCAAATTATTGATTCATTGTTCTTTATAATTAGGAGTGCGGTTCTTTATCTGACCAATATTGATGGTACTATATGTGGAAGGGACTGTATATTTAGTTATTCTCCCTTTGTTGTATGGTTTTGTTTCTATTAGAGCTCTTGCAATTTGTCTGTTGAATTATGTCTGATACTCTTTGTTTCAATTGTTTGCCTACAAAGTTGTGATTATGGTATAATTGATGTCTTTACTATTTCAGAAGCTTATAAATCAATACTTATATATCAAGATTTCTTCTTTATTAAACATTATTTCTCTTCTAATAAGGAAATGTGATATGCCATGTGGATGGTTTACATTAATTAAGCCACATCTGTGAAAGTCGCCTTGTATTACACTACAGAAGAGTTTATTCTCACCATTTGCTATTGAATCTCTTGTTCAAGTGCAAGTAGTGTATCTGGATTTTTTGCAGCAGCTTGCAGTTTGCCATTTGATTACGTGAAGACTCAGATTCAGAAGATGCAACCTGATGCTGAAGGAAAATATCCATACACAAACTCTCTTGACTGTGCTATCAAAACCTCATCACTTATACTGATTTTATGTCTTCAGGAGCGGGAGAGGGATCACTCATCACAATGGTGTTTTGGTTGTGTTGGTTTATGTTATTAGATTTATTTGGCTTTGTTTATGTTACTATATGTATTAAATTATACTGGAAGGATTAATTTAAACTTAGATTTTATATGGTCTTTGGAATGATTAATTTTAATTTTAGTTAAACAATTTTATTTTATATTGGATTTGTTATATTTATTTTATTAGGTCCAAATCCGTCAAATCTGGAGAAAACCGAACTGAAGGCCCGAACCCGAATAAAATCGAATCCGAAAAACCCGAAATCCAATCCGGTTAAAATTGAATTAAAATTACTCACCCGATGGATTGGTCGGATTAAGATAAAGATCAAGACACCATCAACCTTGATCTTATGCATAAGGAAGGACTTTCACTCTGACATCTTGGAGATTTTTTTGTTAAAGCTGAAATCTGAGAAATCTTCCAGATAGGAATCCTGCAACTTCTTCTGATATTGGTTCCAGTATGGGTTGTGAATCAAGGGGTGCAGAGATGCATGTGCTTCCAGTGTGTGAATATGAAGATGTTGGTGTAAGTCTTCATATGGTTGGATTCTCTCTGTCAGGGGGAGTAATATTTATGCATGACAGGGGAAGATGTGTACCTGTCTGATGTGTAGCTGTATTGCTTGACATTGTGCTATGTACAACATTGGTTATTGTCTGGGAGAATTTATTTTTCTCTGCAAAATTGTTTTGTGTCTCAATTTGGGGATTTAAAATCAGGTGCTACTTGGCAAGTATTTGACTGATTATCCTTTAATTGGTAAGTGTCATCCCTGAAGGTGTAGCTTCAGACAAGACAAGAACCCAAGATTCAAGACTGATTCAGGGTGTACTCTCAAGGAGCTATGGTTCAAGACTGATTTTACACTGGCTGAGTGAGTTCAGCAAGGAGGTTAAGTCATTGTCCATGATTGTTGGTGCAGTCTTTAGAGATCAAGAAATGTTAGACTTGGACACCATGTGCAGTATGTACATTTACTCCAATTTTTGTCTATTTTTGACTAAACCAAGGGGGAGTAAAGGATTGGTATCTACTATACTTATCTACTGCTGCTGACCTGATGTTGTTTGGTTGTTTTAGCCAAAATTTTCCAAAGGAGCAGAAGCAGAGGAAATCAAGCACTCACATCAAGAACAACTTGAGTGTAAAATAAAGGTCTAGGGTTTGAGAGTCCCTTGTATGTGTCTTTGTAAGTCACCGTTTGTATCTTTTGATACATTATGGTAGACATATTTGTGAGTGAAGAATTTGTGGTGTGCAGTGATTCTTCACGTGTGTAGGAGTCTTAGGATTCCTTGTGTGCCAAGCAATTGTCTGCTGGATAATTGCATTGGTTTAAGTGTGTATGAACTGTTGTGTTCATTGTCCTTGATTGACGCTGTTAAACAAAATTAAGTGTTGTGACTTTGAAGAGTGTTTTCTAAAGTCTGTCTTTTGTATTGAATTGTATATCACTGATGTGATTGAGGGGGAGTGAGTGGGTATACTCTTGTCTAGTGGTCTCTAGGCAGAAATTGCATTGGATAGAGATTAAGTGAGGAGTTGTAAACGGGAGAGTTTAGCTCTGAATTGATTATGCTAATAGTGGATTTCCTTCCTGGCTTGGTAGCCCCCAAATGTAAGTGTTGTTGACACTGAACTGGGTGAACAATTACTTGTGTTATTTATCTTTCAGCATTTACAATTCTGCACAATTTAAATGGTTAGATAAATAGGTCTGTCAGTCTGCTGATGTTACAGCAGAGGTAATGACATTGGTACAATTTAAAGAAATTTAAATTGGTCATGGTCTGTCCTTGTTCTGTTTTAGCAGAGATCAATGTTCTTAGGACATCTGAAATCTGCATACCAGAATTTCAGATTTAAAAGGTTATTATGAAGTCTAATAAAAACTTATTAGACAAGACAAACACTACAAAAAATTTAATTCTTTGTTAAGACACCTTATGGTTTTGAAATCAAATGCTACAATACCAAGGTAACAACTACAAGGAAGAGACTCCCTACAATGATTTCATTTGAAAGAGTCAGGAATATTTGGCCGATAATTAGAAACTAAAATTTAAAACTATTAATATGACATCGATGATACACTGAAAATTTGAATGGATAGATAATCATTTACAATAAAGTGAAAATTTGAATGGAAAGATAATCATTTACAATAAACAATGTTTTTCTAATATGACACTAATTATAAACAATGTTTCATAAAAATTGTTTTTTAAATTTTATTTATCAATAAAATAAAGTTATCAAAAAAAAAAAAAGAAGGTTTACATAGAGAAAATAATATTTCTTCTAAGTTACTTAAAATCAATCTTTATCTTAATTTTTATCAAATTAGTTTAATACAAAATTAAATTGAATATACTATATATACAACATATTATATATTGACAACTACTGAACCAAATATTTAATGAGTCAATAAAATATTAACAAATTTGTTTTTTCATATCGTGAAAATATTTTGAAATAGAAAAAATTAAACTATAACTTCAATTATTGTTATAAACGGTAACAACTTCACTATTAATTCAAATATTTTCA